GAGGGGTTTATGAGTAATTACTACAAACAGTATTACTACATGGTAATAAGTAATAACCCCTTAGATTAATTAGATACTCTACTATTACAAAATGTTATAGAGATTTTTTTTTACTACTATATTAATTATTTTACTCAAGATGGAGAAACATGTAGATCACTTCATTTATTGTTATTCAATTAATGGTAGGTGAGTCATATAATAGGAAATTAAATAAAATATATATACAGTTGGAATCATTTACTTCAATTTAATTTTGTATCTGTTATTCCCACAATGTTCTTTTCACATAAATAAGAAGGAAAAAAAAACCAAAAAAAAAAAAGAATTTTAATTGAGGTTACGTATTAAAGAATTAATGTCTGCCCAGACGGAGGGGTGCAAATGAGCCGAGCTCGAGCTGAGCTCATCTTATATTTTTTTTAAAAAATTTTAAATAATTAATTTTAGTTTTTATTATAAACTACTTATATGAAAAATAATTAAATACTTATATATTAAAGAACTTATAGAATAAAACATTAATCTGTAATTTTTTTAATATATATTAGTTATTTTTATGTTAATAATAAAAAAATCAAAAAAATAATAAAATAATAGCTCGTGAGGTTACGAATTAAACAACTAAAGATGAGCTCGAACTCGGAAAATTTGAGCTTAAGCTCGAGTTTTTATCGAGACAGTTCATCGAGTCCATGAGCCGATTCAGCCTAGACAGACGGCTGAGGTTGTACTAGGTGTCTGGGGTTGATAAGTGTTGTAATAAATGAAGTGAGGTTAAAAATGAATATAATGGGGATGTATATATTGATTTCTGGTATTAACTATGGGCAAACACACCAGCCTTATTGTTTAATTTCCAACGGTTCTTTGGCTGTTTTCTCACCGCCCAACTCATCTCCTTTTTTAATTTCTCACCTGGCAGACAATATAATGTTTATTGGTGTAATTATTTTTTTTATATTATGATGGGTAGCTTCTCCTTTATTTTTATTATTATATATATAATTCACACACTCCACTAATTAATTAATTTCTTCTTTAGCCTTGTTGTGTTTCTTTTTCTAAAGTCCTTCTTCACAAATGTTCGGTTACGTTTTCATCTCACTTGTATTATTTTTTCGCAACAAATTCGTGTTTATTAAGGTTTTAAAAGAAAGTTCTCAAAACAACTTTTAAAGTATCTTTATCTCTTCAAATATGATGTGACTGCTACAGTAAAATGATTTGACTGTTAGAATAAAAACTGTTTTCACTAAAAAAACAAACAAATGCAATCAGTTTATTTTTCAAATTCTTTTCTTACAATACATTTTTCTGATATCATTAAACATGATTTGGCCGCAACAGTGTTTCATTTCAACTTATAAACAAACATTACTTTCATTTTCTAATTATTCTCTGACAACATATTTTCCCGAAATTAAATGAAAATAACTCCCCAAAACATAGCCAAACATTGCCGTACTTGTTTCGCATCAACTTAAGGAACCTTTTTCGAATGAAAATATTTCACGGAGGACTTTTATCAAAATTAAAATATGTCTCTTTTTTGCTATTTATTATCAACAATTAGATACTATTAATTTCATATTTAATTTAAACAAGAAATTTT